AATAATAAATGCCCAACCAACTGGACTGTGCGATGGCCGTTCCTTTATATGTCCTATCAGAAAGCAGAGGTACCCATCCAATTTTGTTGGAAAATGTGCCCATCAACTAGGCGAGATTATTAAGGGCAGCATAATTCAAACTGCAATATATATTTATTAATTTTTCGTATATTAAATAATATATAATAAAAATTAATTCTCTCGTTCTGTCAATTTCTTTTAATAAGTTTTAAGAGTTAAATTTAAAATTTTTAATTAAAAATATCAAAGTTTAGCTATTTTCTTATAGCGAACATATTCAAATATATTGATACTTGAATCTTTGGGTCTAATTACGTATGATGTCAAATTACATATAAATATATTTTTTTTTCCTAAGTAAACAATTTAAATTCGGACTCTTGTAAATTTTGTTCAAAAAAAAAAATCAAATATTTTCGAATATGTCAAGAATATCCTAATACTTTAATAATCACCTCTCTTTTATAAAAAAATTTTTATACTAAATTTAACAAATATGAAATTTAAATCTCATCTTAATGTTTTAAAAAAATTATATATATACACATATTTAAACATGTCAGATTTTCCTTTTTTCTTTTTTTCATTTTACAATTTGGGGAGTAAAGAGATTTTTTTCAAGACATTAATGAGATTTAAAACCTTGACGAACTAACATAAGTACCTTAAGATTTGAGAACAAATCATTTTATCCGAAAATCCAATTCCAAACATGTCATAGATTAACTACCAAAAGCTCAAAAACTTAAATAATCGGCTGTTCCCTACAGGAGATATTGCTTGACACTTCTTGATGCACAAAACTAGGGTAGATTATGTGGTTATAAAAAAATAAAAGGGGGTGGGGTGGAGTGGGGGGAGAATATGCAGCATAAACAGAATAATCAGGAGATGAAAATTATCATTCAAATATAATCAATTCAAAGTCAAAAAAACTCCCTTCAGGGTTTTATATACACAAACCTTAAAAACACTAGAAACCTTCACAATTCACATCCCCGAGCTAAAGAATGGTTCTCTACGCTCAAAATCTCCATTCTCTTCCATTTTTCTACAGTTGAAATTAACAACAGAAAGAGACAAGGAAAAAAAATTTAATAAACAAAAAAAAGGCTAGTGAAATTTGTAAAAACATGTTTTAGTTCTAAACACAATGAATGACCAAACACACTTCCATTCAAAGATGCTTCTAAGAGCAAGCTAGATGTCAGAGCAACATTAAGGCATAATAACAAAAGCCGTGGAATATGAAACAGTGAATCACCATAGCCTGCATCCAACAGTCATGGCTCTCCTTCTGCGAGCTGCACATTATATCCATGCTTTATGTCTGTAACAAATCAAGGGCCAAGCACATTGTTCAGGATAAATGATCCGAAAGAACAAAATATTGTTCAAATTCACAACAGCATGTGTTCAATGCAGAGAAAGGGATTGTGCATGAAGATGTTAAGCTCAAAACATGTGGCAATAAAATTCTTTTATGTAGCATGGTATAAATGCTAAACACACAGGGAAATTACATTAGAATGAGGCAAAGAAGCTACCGTGTATAGTGAAAATAATGTGAAAGAATGCATGGTGCTCCCTAGATAGAATTTAAAACCAATCCACAAAAGACATAATAATGTGATAGCCTACAAGGAATATGATATTTCAAATGCCATAACCCATAATTCCATCTATCTTTCAAAATTAAACCAGCATGTTCCTAAAATGTAACAGAACAATGAGTCATCTAAACATGTACTATTCACTGACAGAATAAGATTAGAAGGATGAATCTTTGGTGGCACTATCCCCAAGAGAATGCAAATATTAACCCCTAACTCTGAAGTCCCTGAATTCTTAAATGTAACTAATGTGGCCTTGGCTTACACTGACTAATGTTGACTGCAGAAGTGCATAATACATAGTTCTTGATCAATGACCTAATGCAACTCTCATACAACTAAGAGTAAACAATGGTTTAGAACAAAGTAGTAACTGCTAGAGAAAAGTAAGGTAGGGTTAGCAATGAAGTGGAGGTATTAAATCCAAACTCTACATAGGCCACATAAATATATTAATGTGTCCAGTCTTGATAATACATAATGCATAAAACCTCATCAATTTAAAAGCAAAGCTTCTATGCACTCAAGCTTTGGTGTGTGAGTTTAATGAGTCTCAGTCTAGGATAAGCTTCAGTTCATTTGCTAATCAAGCTCAAGCTCAAGCTCTATTAATTCAAACAGAATAGAGTTGGCAATAAGGGGACAAGTCCTAGTTCACCACATAGGCTGAAATCGGTTACTTAACTGATAATGATATTCTCCTAAGCTAATTTATCAACTTCATGAGAACCTTTCCCCTGAAACCTGGCTCGAGGTCTCCACCGTACCCAAAAAGAAAAAGGAAAGGATAGAAAAAAAGAATGATCCTAATTCACAGTGCAGAAACACCAAACACATCATACAGTTTGTCCATAACTAAAATGCCAACTAGTACCTTTCAAGGAGGGTTTATCATATTTATCTTTCCTCTCATCTTCATTCTTCCATTCACTATCATCATCATCATAATCATCCATTTCATCCCTTCCATCATTTCCTATATCACTTTCACTTGCTGTCTCCCATTCAGAGTCATCAGTGTCATGGCCATAGAAGTTACCAGCATCACCCTCGCAGTGGACTCTCCCATGTTTGATAGCTGCTTCTCTAAATAACCAAGCTGCACGCATCTGCTTCTTGACCAAACGTTCGGCGTAGTCAGGAACCTTATTTTGCCTCAATGAAAGATCAGGGTCATTTGAATGAGAGCATTCATTTATGAAGAGAATGGCATCTAGCAAACTCTCTTTAGCTAAGCCAAGCATATCATACGCCTGAGCTCTTCTCCATAGGCTTTTTGCATGACGGTTAAGTGGATTGTGAAGACATAAAGCACGTGTAGCATCACTTATGGCAGCCAAGGGTTGCTGCAATAGCAGATGACACTGAGCTCGATTACTGTACAGAACAACTCTCTCTTTCTTTGATCTCATCGGACATAATGCCAATGCTTCTGAATATTTTGATGCAGCTCCAGCTATATTTCCTGAAGAGAAAAGAGAATTTCCTTCAAGCTTGACTACTAATGCAGCTGCCTGTTTAATATGCAGATCCTCTTTCGGCATATTCTTCTCCCATTTCAATCTCTGCCTCGAATTTAATAGTTCTTCAATCAGCTCTTTTGTTCTGTTACTGATGGGGTTTCTCCCTGTCCCTTGAAATTGGATACATTCCTGAAGAACATTAACAATAGAATCCCCAAGCTTTTTGTGATCACCAAGGTTGGTAATCTCCGCAAGGTCTACAAGAGCAGGTACTGCCTTATCAATCACCTACATGACAAAATAAGCATTAAATGTAGCATATAATATATATTCCAAATCTAAAAGCAAAAGATACATGGTAAGACACAGTGGAATTTTCTATTTAATTACACTTTTTCCATATTATATACAGTTTGCTTTCTTGACAAAGATTGTTGGAGAATGATAGTTAATTAACATGATAACGCCAGCTTAGATCTATTTATTTGAATATAAGATCTTTCCAAAAGTTTTATTATAACCAAAATAATGGAAATTCAAAACAAAGTAGAATAAGTCATCTCTCAGAATTAAGCCAATAAGAAGTAGTAGCCATAATTTATACAAAGAGGATGGATTTCAACCAAATGTCAAAATTAGGAAGGTCAAAAGTCCAATTCTTAAGAATGCCATAAACCACAGCAACTTGCATTTTAGACCCATTATGGAAGGGTGTTTTTAAGTGAAAAAAAAAATGAAGTACAAAAAATAACCAGTAATTTTTTTCTTTTTTTTTTTTTTAATTATGTATCAATAACACTTCTAGGCAAGGAAAGAAAAAAAGTCTATATAGTGCCTAAGCTATCAACATTATTGAGGAAGTAATGGCTCAAGAGTCAACAATGACCAGTTCATGAAAAGTTCAATCAGGACCAAATCTAGATTACTTCTTCTAAGGTTGTACTACATCTCTACTCATTTTAATGGGCCAACTAATTTAACATATGAATAAGTAAGATACACTAAATAATTCCTACTTAAAAAGATATTTTTCTTCTCTTTTTAAGCGAAAAGGTTCTCCGAATAGGCATGATTTTGAGTAACTTCATATATGATGACGCATGTTCAGATGGGAAGAGTCTGAATGTGCATAGACAAAGTCCAGAAAAGGAAAGCATGATTGAAATGTGATACTACGTTTCTGTAACACCTCATTTCCATTGGGAAAAGAAAAGAGTTTTAGGAGATGTGATCAAAGAAAATGTCAGCAAAATTTTGCTCAATACCGTATATAACAAAATGAGATACACATAATAATGGCATAATCAAATTTGAATGATCAGCATGGACCTGGACCATGCCACAAAAACATGAAAAATAAATTTTCAATTGATGACGACATTAGGAGACAGCTACCTGATGAATCAAAGTAAACAACAGATTATAGGGAACAGAATTTACCTTATGACATGTGTTTGGGTCTTGAAGTAACCAAAGTAGACAATCAATAGCCATGTACTGCCAATCATCTGATGAGCAAGCAATGTTACACAATGCTTCGATAATACCAGGACAGCTAGCAACAGGTCCCCTACCAAGCTTATGATGACAGATGGTCCTTAACAACCCAATACCTGCTGGTGAGTTTTCATTAACAAGTCCACCCCACATTCCTGGTAGCTTCATTAGGAATTCAGTTTTGCAAATAGTAGGAAGAAAGTCTGGCTTGAATGCAAAGCAATTAATAAGCTGAAGGGACCAACATTGCAATTGACTAGCCCATTCCTCTGCTTTCCTGGACTCCATTTCAACACCACCCATTCCACGAGTCAGCAGATCACAGTGATAACTCACCCTTCTATCGACATACTGGTAAAAATGGGAGTACACCATTTCAAGTGAACTCATTGCCAGCTGAATGGAGAGCTCAAGGATTTTACCATGACTTGCTACGGCAGGAAAAGTGCTAGCATAGGTAGACAAGTGCCCTAAAGCTCGCACTGCCACCCTTTGTTCTACCCAAGTCAACCTCCCACTCAAAAGCTCAACTAAAGGAGGTATTACTCCAGCATGTACAGCAGTTTCTGCAAATTCTTCCATGTTCATGGTGTAGGATCCAATAATATGTGCAGCATAATAAGGAATGTAAATATTTTGGTCATGAGCAAGCCAGCGGTGGTTCTTGAGACCCTTCCATATTAGTGCAGCCATGCATTGAAAAATCCCCAATTCAATGAACTCTGGATCATTAGGATGAGCCATGGCAGTGTTCCAAAGGCCACTGATAGGAAGAACCTGACCATCATCATCTTGTGAAGGGAGGTCTCTGAAGAACTTCAGTATACTTGCTCTACGCTTACTTGGATTTCCTTCCTTCATAACACAAAAAAAGCAACCTGGGTATGGACAGTCTTGTGATACTTTATCCATGTTCAGATGTTTTGCCACAGGAGATTCATACAGTGCCAAGTCAAATCCTCATTGGCCAGAAAACCTTATGCTAAATTCTTTTAAACTGCACAATTATGATACATAACATTAGCATCTAGTACTTAAAAAAAAAAAAAAAAAGAATTTGAAAAAAAAAAAAAAAAAAAGAATTTGAGTAAAAAACACAACTGCATATTTCCCAGAAGTAAATACCCAGTTGTCTTTGACCATCATATTGAACCAATCTGCCCAACAAGATTTTCTCTAGAAAGCACATAAATAGCCTTTGATCCATTCATGCATATCGAAGAAGTTGCAAATAACTCATAATTATTCCTAATTACTACAAGCTGCTCTAGATTCTTTCACAATAGAGATGCAAGCTACCTTTTAAATCCCATTTAGGAATCGACGACACCAAGAACCTGCTGTTTAGACGTACTAGGCTACTATCTTCCATACACAGAAGTCCAAAAGATTCTAAAGGAAGGGGACTGGCTTAGTCATTATTTCTCTCTTTGGTTATTACTGTATATGTTCACGCCAAGACTCAATTTCAAGCATTCTATTCTATTACCCCCAAGACTGAGTTAAAAAAATAGTTAGCAAGTGACAATGCCTCAAAATTATTTTAATTCACTTAATACTTCACTTACAAGAATACAAGGACAAAGTACCATCTGAAAAGATACCAGACAAAACTCACAATCAAAATCAGGCCATTAGCAAACAAACAGCATGTCGCATTCTTCGCAGGTAACACATTTTGAACTGAATTGGATTGGATCTAAACATCAAACCTCTAATAAACAAACCCAGTTCTAAAATAAGATCCGAAAATGAAAATTAACTAAAAAATAAAGAAAAGACCCATAAATTCAATTTCTCCTAGAAGAAACAAAACAAAAAGTGCTAAAAAAATCAAACCTTTACGATTGTTTGAACAGCGGAAAATCACAAGAGACTGAAGATATAATCCAAAACACCAGAAAAGAAGAAGCAAGATACCCTTGTAAGAATCCGTTTCCACAAGCTGAAAAAGGGAACAGCTTTTTGTGTTGGACGAAAGCAGATTTGATGGGTTCTTTGACTTTCTCTTGTTGGTGAAAGTGTGGAGGATGAAGAAGGAGAGGAGAGCAAGGGAGGGAGTGGGGGGCTCAGAGTTGCGGAGGGGTATAGTATACTATTGTAGTTTTTGGGGCTTGATTCAGACGGTAGGAGAGAAGATCTTGTTCGTGTAATGAAAACGATACGAAAGCAGTCAAGCTCAGGGACGACGATGTTTGATTGGATTTGAATCAACCCAAATTAAAATTTTACCAGAGCGGCTTTCCAATCCCACGCGCATGCATCTTCTGATTGTTTGTTTGTTTGTTAGTTAATGAGATG